GGCCATACGTCTGTGTGTCCTGTCCAAGTTATTTAACTCTAAGCCTCAGTTCTCCAGTCTGTAAAATTGGAACAGTAGTACTGGCTTTCTTAGGGTTGAAGTCAGAGTTGATGGGAGGAGATGAGAAATGTCTAGCCAGCCCAGCCAGGGCACCTTGATAATTGATTCTCTTCAGCGGCACTTCCCTTTTCCTTTAGTTGAGAGACTTGTGGGAGGCAGAAGGAAATAAAAATAGCAAGGAAGGATCTGTGTGAAGTCAAGAAGAGGGCTCGCAGAATAGTTGGGAATAGGAGGCGGTTAAGTATAGGTTTGTACCTTCTCCCCCAACCCTGCAAATTCGGTGGCATGAGGAGTTAATGCATTACCAAGTATGATATGCTTTTTGAATTTGATCTTCTTCTTGGACATGTGCAATCCGTAGTGGAGTTACTTATCCAAAAATTATGAGTTGGGGGAGATAGCTTTGAACTGTAGACAGACTGGTGCTGATTGCTGATTCCAGGTGGCCCACCCACCTTCCACCCCCAAATTACCCTGCTAGAGAGCAAACTCCACAAGTTTGCTGCTGCTTGGTAACACCACCCCCTTTCCTGTCCTCACTTTGGCAGTACCCCCATTGAGCTTAGTGGAGAACACAGAGTCATGGGGGCAGGGCACGCTCCAGGCTCCTGCACACCAGGAGAGACTAACTACCACATGATTCTAGGCACTGTACAGACCTTGTGCGCTCAGGAAGCTGGAGAGCGAATGCTCGACTTGTATTTTGCTCACAAGTCAGCTTTAGCTCTACTCCATTTGTATTTGTTTAGACAAAGGCTAGCAAAAACAGGGTACTAAAAGCTTCCACTCCCGGCTTCCAAACCTCTGCTGACATTGCAGAGGTAGTTTGAGAATCTCCCTCTAGATGGGGTTCCAAGAGCAACCTGACCCCTCAGTCCAAGTTATACCTTGGTTTTTTGTTTCAGGGCCCTAAAGAGAAAGACAGAAAACATGCTAGAAACTTCTCTTTCAAGATATGTCATTCCCTTCTCCACATTTTAGTAAATCACCAATTTATCCACAGAAGACAAGTCTATGTCTAAATGTGTTGGTTCTTTCCTTCACTGCTATTTTTTCCTTCTGGAGCATTCTGTTGCTTCTATTTCTTGATCTTTGTCACAATATCATTTTCCAAAGCACCCATGCCTGCCTTATTTTTTTTAAGGAGAAACCCTTGCAATGTTTTGTGTTTTGGTCTCAAACATGAGTCAGATGTTCGGTCCTCATCCTTGCACTCCTTGGACATGACATCCCCAGAGAACTCTGGCTGCACTGAGTCAAGATCTCGTTGCCCGACATGAGATCTAACAGACTTTCCTTGTATAACTCCAGATTCTTCCACTTCATTCCACTTAGGCAAGCTGACCTGTTTTAGGGGTTTGATCACGAAGAAGATCACCGCAGATGCATTATGACATATAAACATCTTAGACTAGCCACATCAGAATTAGGAATGACATGCTTTTAATTGTGTTAATTGCAATTTTCTAAAAGGCTGAATTTTCTACCTTTCAAGTTCTCCTTGACTATGTTAGTCCTCTCACTGTGGGGCCATGAATCACAGTTCTTTTTAGTAGTTAATGGCCATAATCAGAGCACAATGAACTCCAAAGAAGCCATCAATTTGTAAAATAACTTCTAGAGGGATGCATCATTTGCTAGCAGTTCGGGCAACTGCCCCTGAACTCAGAGGAGGTAGGTTTAAGTCTTCCCCTAAGGAGCCATTCCACCAGAGCATGCAGCGTTGACTGACACACAGTACATGAGCTGGGCTCTCTAGAGAAACAGAAGTGGTAGAATGGATGTATATTGCAAAGGCAATTAACTTACATTATGGGGAGGTTTTCTGTTTATGATCCTAAACACCAAGGCTTCAAGCATCTGGAATGTTATCATTATCATCATCATTACCATCATTACCGTCACCACCATCACTATTGTTATTATTTAGTTTTTCCAGACATGGCTTCTCTTTGTAGCCTTAGCTGCCCTGGAGCTTGCTTTGTCCTCAAACTCACAGAGATTTACCTGCCTCTACCTCTTGAGTACTAGAATTAAAGGCATGTGTCACCACCTCCAGCTTTGGAATTTACTTTCTTAAACCACAACAGTTAGCTTTATTCAAAGTTTCTATAACATATGAAAAATTCAACATTCAGATAATAGTGAAAAAATAAGTGTCCATTTGTCCTCTGGGAGATATATGTTAGTGCCAGAAATCAATAACCTCAAATATGATGGGTGGGTTGTTTTTTGAAACAGGATTTTGCTATGTAGCCCAAACTGACCTGGAGCTCTCTAAGTCAAGATGGCCTCAAATCCACAGTCCTGCATTTGCTCACTGAGTACTAGGATTATAGACGTGTCATCACAGCCAGCAGGAAGTGTAATTTTCCATTGCTTTAGAAAAAACGAGTATAACTCACTCAAATTGTACAAAAAATAGGGCCATGTGTGTAGGTCCACACTACATGTCCCACTGTGGACAGCACAGACAGAAGGCAAGATGCACTGGCCTCCTTTGTTTTGTCTGTTTAAAGTTTCTTACCCCTCCTTATCCTACTTGGATCCTACTCTTGTGTTTTCTAACCTGGAGAACCAAAACAGACTTCCCAAGATCAATACCAGATAGTAGCTTGTGTCATAGCTACATATTGTTTTCTGGCATTATTTTCTGTGTTAGTCTCTGTACCTAGGGCAATAATAACTAATCATTCACCCTTGAGAGTCCATAGTAACAACTATAAGTCACACTGGAAGAGAGTGAATAGTCCTAACAACAACCTGGTGACCCTCAGAGACAGAACACCCTTGCCCCCTCCACATAGCCCCACAGGTTACCAGCTTCCATTCCTCCCTCCTGTCCCACTTTTCCCTGTCGCCCTGTGACCTCTTCCCCAGATAGCTCTGCTGTGTCTTTACCAGCTTCAGGTGTCACCTCGAGTCACCCCAGCCACACTATTGAAATCACAAGCACCATAACTTCGTATTTCTAAACTCCTTTATTTTTTAAAAAAATGTGTTTATCATCTTCTAAATACTAATACCCTGCTTATTAATGGCCAAGCCAACCATTTTGCTCCTTATGGATACCCAACTAGTCATAAATGATAAGAAACTTTTGGTTTAAGCCAGGGAATGGAGGCGCACACCTTTAATCCCAGCACTTGAGAAGTAGAAGCAATTGCATCTTGGTGAGTTTGAAGCCACTGCAGTTCCAAAGCAAGTTCCATGACAGCCAAGACTGTTATACAAAGAAACCCTGTCTTGAAAAACTGCATGCCCCACTGTGGCTATTAGGAAGCATTTGTGTTTGCTATACAAGAAATCCCACCCACGTTATGTAGTCCTATAATTCTCCATTAATGTGATAGAGCCATGCCACTGAGCCTGGAGTTTGTAACTTGTGTTAGCACCCAAGGTCACTAATGGCAGAGAAATATACATTCAAGGAGGAACTAAGTGTAATACTGATAAAAGCTAGCAAAGGAACTGCTTTAAATAAGGCCACATATCTTAGCTACTCGCAATTCTGCCTTACTTAAAGAACAATTCATAGTTCCACATTTCAGGCAACACTGTGCCTCAAACATTTGCATAATGTTTTAATGGACGCAAAGATGGAATTCAAAAACATGAGGGCAAACTATCCACAGCAATGTTTGGGGCTGGAGGAGGTTCAGTTGTTGCCCCTGCTGTAGAGTTCATTGAGGAGAGATGGCAGAGAATACAGAGCGAAACAGGGGCTGCAGAGCTTGCTACCACGATCTTGTCTACCTGAGGCTAATAAATCCCAAGCAGATAGAAAGGTGGTTGATAGTTATTATTTAAAAAAAAAACAAGGAATGTGCTGTGATCAAACAGGATAAGGGAATTCTCTCTCTCTCCCTCTCTCTCTTTCTCTCTCTCTCTCTCTCTCTCTCTCTCTGTGTGTGTGTGTGTGTGTGTGTGTGTGTGTGTGTGTGTGTGTGTGTGTGTGTCAGGGGAGAGACGGAGACACTTGGAAAAGGTCTCGTGAGAAAAAAAAAATTCTTCTAGCCTAGAAGAATGCAGAAGGGTTTTGACTAGCTGAGTGGGGAGAAACCGTTGAGGCTGATGACAGTAGCGAGAAGACAGAAAAGCCCTGAGTGTATGCCACACTTTGAGATGTCTAGAAAGGTATGCTGCTAAGTTCAGAACTCTCAGAAAAACAACAGAGAAGGGGCAGGGGCCTGAGTGCATCTGCAGGCCGTCAGGGGGGCAGCATGCTAGAGTGGGGCTCTCGTTCTGTTCTCTAAAAAGCCAGGGGGGCTGAAGGACTTTTTTTCTTGGAAGGTGATTCTGGGGACACACACACCTGGAAATAGACCCACAAGTCAGAGTAACAGGGAGTAAGCTCAGGGAGTCCTACTGTCCGTGACAGACGATTGGTCCTTGCTAAGATACTGTTGAGGAAATGCATGTACTGAGGACCAGGCATCACTCATTAGGGAGAGATGATGTCACTGTCCACAGAGAGAAGAAGGAAATAAAAGACAGGATCAGATACAAGCTTGCCTGTAGTCAGGATAAATTGAGAAGAGACACTGTCAGGTTCCATAGTGAGATTAGTTTCTGAAACGTTTTCCAGTTGTCATGTAATGGCCCTGCCTAGCTGTAATGAATTAATGTCATTTTCCAGTTACTTCCAACGTTCTGTTCTAAGACATGAATCTGTTTGGTCATTGTGAGCCATTGAGAAGAAACTTTAAAATGTGTTTGCATGGAGCCATGGTGCCAACCCTCTGCCCTCAGAATCCTGAATGGAAGACAGTAACCCAGGAGTGACCATGTCAGACATGAACAGAAAGTGTGTGCAGAAACATTGCCTTGGAGGGCTGCTTTAAATGGGGTCCCTCAGAGTCTCCAATACCTCTTCTTGAAGCTGTGTGTCACCTCTCACATTGTCTCTTTATTTTTCTTCCCCATGCCTTCACTTTTAGAGGAAAAGTCCGGTAAGAGAAAACATATCCTTCCTGTGTTTTGACCAAATTATTATGTATCCTATTCATTCTCAGCATCTGTATATCTAACATTTGTTTAACACCAAAACAAAGTTTCAAATATTAAAACCAACTGTCGTGAGCCAGAACAAGGTCAAAATGTGCCACTGGGAACAAGGAAGTCGATTGCTAAGAGATTTCATGCCCATTGTCACGGGCTACAAGGTAGTTTTGCTAAGAGATTTCATGCCCATTGTCACGGGCTACAAGGTAGTTTTGTAGAGGATCACAGGCATACAGCCCAATACTTTCTATCCAATGTTTCGTTTCTTACAGCTTCCACTTTAACTGGTCAAGCTACCTCCTCATACCATGAACATTTCATTTTTTTTTAATGAACAACCTGCTAGAATCCTGAGTGTTTGTGGAACTGGCCTGAGAACGGGCGGGGAGGTAGAGGATTTCGGATTGGTCTGTTTTTATTCATTTTTGTTTTAGTAAATCAAAATACCCCCTCCTGGGACTGCTGGAGATTGGAAAGAGGCATCTTTTTTATAAAGTAGAAATCTCAAGCAGAAGCATAGTTCTGTGGCTCACAAAGTGCTTGTTGCAAGTCCAATGACCTGAGTTTGAATCTTGGGAACCTCATGGCCAAAGGAGAAAACTGACTCCCGTGCACATGTCCTGTGATCTCCATGCACACCATGGCATGCTTGTACCTGCAAGCACACACAAAATGAGTACAATAAAATATAAATCACTTTCTGGGTGCTACTTGCTAGTGCTGTGGGAGATTCTGATACAATGTAATTACATCTTTATCTTAGAGCAACATAAATGTTAAAACAAAGCAAATTATAAAAGAAAAGGAAAAGAAGAAAGAAAAGTTTGTTTTCCTGTTTCCATGATTGCCTGGGGTACTGAGAACATATTCTTAGCACACCTGTCCAAGGCTGATGTGGATAATACTAGTGGAAAATACAAACACGATTTGTTGTTGTTTTGTTTTACATCAGCCCACACTAAGAGGTGGTTGGTTTATTCCACTGAGCTCAGCTAGGGGGGATGCGCGGAGCATGTGCTTGCTTACCTTGTACACTGGCTCCATCTAATCCTCATGAGGAAAACTGCACTCAAAATTCATATCAGGGAGGATGAATGGGAGACACAAAATGAGTCCAAATAATAAAATTTTCCAAAATATAATCCAAGTCTCTATGTTTCCAAAACTACAATCAGCCAGTGCAGTCATAAGTACGTGCTCCACTGTTACCAAGCTGAGCCTCTGTGGATGTACATGAGGCGAGGATCATGTGGTGCGCTCACATCACATGCCTAGTGTTCTCAGTAGCCTTTTCTTAACACGTGGCCAATTTCATATATTCTCCTTGACCCTGGATTGTCCTCTGAGTTAAGCAGAGTTGTCCAATTCTCATTAAAATTTGCAGTGGCGCTTTGAAAACTCTCTTTTCCTCATCGGTTTTCCTCCTAGGAGGAAATGTTGCTGTGCTTATAGCAAGGATAACCTTGTTTTCACTTTCACTGTGTTTTTTGAGACATGTGTAAACTCACTTACGTTTTGAAATGTCCATCATGCTGATTCCTTAGCCAGCTCTCTTGTGAGTGAAACATTGATTACTAGCAGGATCTTTGTCTCCTCTCCCAAGTGGGGTTGCAGAAGAATGTCTAAGTCTCGCTGAATACTATAGACGAGGGGTGTCACTGACCTTGTGATTCACAAGAGCAAGTTTGAGTATTGCCACCTACGGTCGTGAGGAAAACAGAGGCCTGCCACGTGCTTCATCCCGATCCTAAGGCATTCAAGAGCAAGTCAGTCTGTTGGCCATGGTCACTGTGCCAACTCACTGTTGATGCACTATAATTCTTTCGTAGAAAAATCTGTAACGCATGAGGACCTAGGAGATGGCTCAGTTGGTCAAGTGCTTGCTTAACAACATGAGGACCATAACTCACATAAAAAAATTAAAAATCCAGGAGTAGTTGAATTCCCATAAAGTCACAGTGCTGATGAAGTAGAGACAGGAGGGCCACAAATCAGTGCCTACCTCAGAAATGTCCTCAAAATCCAAAGTAAGGGTTATCTCAAAGAGAAAAGAAAACTGATCTTCAGAGCCTTCTCCAGGGTACATCAGATGATCAAGGGATTTAAGTGATTAATGATTAATTACTAAGGCAGGAAATTTGTCCAGAACACAAGCAGGCGGGTCACAAGGCCTCTACCAGAATAATCAGGTGTAGCGGATATTATAAGAGCTCACTCTGTATGATACAAAGGCCTGCAATCAGGGACAGAGCAGCCACCTGCGGGCTCTACACAGCTGAATGCGTGCTTTGTTTCTGTTTTTTTTCTTGCTTATGCAGTTATGATTTGGACCCACATTTAAAAACCAGACCAATTGACTTTTGTTTTTTAATCGAGTTACTCATTCCTCTTTAAAGAGGGAGTAACCCTGATCCCATCTTCTCGCATTATGGGTCCAGTAGTCAATGAAGCAGAGTTTGGTGATGGACAGTTTCCTGACCTCTTCCTACCCTGCAAGCCTCTAGACAGGTATCTCTACTTCTAGAAAAGACTAGCTCCAGATCCTAAATTCATTTTCATCTACCTTTGATGAAAATTCTATAATTCATAAAATAAAAAGATGGTTTTTGAAACTTGAGAGAAATGACAGAGAAGGGAATAAAATAATTTTCATTTTAAAATACATGGCTTGAACCGAGGACTTCACACATAAAATTGACAGCCGAAGATCCCACCCCCACCTCAGCTGATAGACTTTGTTGGCCTTCCTGTCCTGAAGGGACTAATGGCGGTGATTCTAGGAAGCTCTTGGTTCTAAAGGGTTCAGGAGCTCTTACTCACAGACTTTGAAACCCTCGGCATCTGTACTTGGCACAGATTCCTATCTTTCGGGTTCTTGTTTATCAGCCTGCAACTGTGTGAATTTGAATAGCTAGTCCTTGATGAAAAAAAATTGCAAATGAACTTTCTAAAATGTTACCACAGGAGCTTGCCCTTTACTAGAAAAATATAAGCATGAACTAATCACTAAAAATCACTCATAGAAAATTAAGATATGGCTTATTTGAGTGATTTAATACATTTGGTAATATTTTGAAAGTGTTTTAATTTTAAGTGGAGAAAGTCTTAAGGTTAAGGGTCTTCTGCTTAGCTGCAGTCTGCATTTTATTTTGCACCATTTATCAGAAGCTCATATTGGGCGAATATGTCACATAGTGCCTCATTTACAGCATTTCTAATTTTTGTCATACAGCCTCCATATTCCCTTATTTAAAGAACTTTTATCTGATTACTAAACAATAGTGTAGCCCAAATACTGATATAAAGGGTTTTGTTTTTCCTCAAAACACTTTGATAATCTCAGCCCAAAGATACATACCGATTAGTGTCCTTTTGTTCTAATACTGCTTAAGTTGTATCCACACAGAGACAGATTTGTAAGAAAGTGGGGTAAACATGTAGCAGTGCCCACAATTAATAAAGTCTAAACTACTAGGAGTCATGTTGGCTAGTATATGTCTAATGACCATCTTTACAAACCTGGACCCGGAAATGACCATGCCTGGACAACAGTCCATGCCTCAGCATCAGCCACGACTCTCCTCAAGAGTGCTCCCACAATGTCAATCAGAGATCTAAAGCCCGTTCCCAGTTCTGCTGATTCTAACTGGGTCTCAGCCTCACTTTGAACTAAATGTCTATGGAGGCCTCCCAAGTATAAAGTCTACAAGATTTTGTTCCCAAGATCAGTTTATCTTCATTTGAGCTCCTGCCTGTCCCTGTGTTTGAGACCCTGGCCTCTACTGAGGCAGCTCCTACCCTCTCATGAGTCTTAAAAGCAAACATAGCTCCTTCACCTCCCATATCCGTGTCCCTCCTGGTACAGCTGAAAGATCCCAAAGGAGACTGTTGGGACACACTGATGGCAGCTGTCATCAAGATTGGGGGAGTAAAGAAAGAAGTTGTGTCTGCATGGTGTATTCCCAGATATCATCCGGTCCACAAGTGTTTATTGTTGCCAGGCAGTTTTCATAGTTGCCATGTGTGTTCATTGGGGGTTATCCACAAGAAGAAAATTGCCAAAATCACTAAGCAAAAGTCAGGTTCAAAAAACAGCAACAGTACTACCCTCTGAAATGTGCATTCTAAGAACAATGAAAAGAAAAATCCAAAGAGTGGGTTCTCCTTGTGGTAATACAGGGCATCAGTGGTGCTGGTGCATGGTGATGCCTGTGGAAACAGACTTGTCCAGATGATCTGGATAGCCTGAAATATTCTAGGGAAAAACTTTTTGACAAGGCGTTATAATAAATCACCTATAAGGATTATGTACATTCCTGTCTTGTTCTTGTGGGCAGATACATAAAACCCCATCACATTAGCAGAGCTGTATACAGAAGTTTCTCTTTGGGCTTCTCCCAAATCTTCTGGGGCTTGATGAGCCCTAATCAACATGCCTGCCTGTCTTGCTCTGACCTGGTGATTTGGTGTGTATGGTTGGTAGCTATTTTGAAACCCCGTTACCCACGCCTCTTGACTGATCCATCGTTCTCTGACTAGGTGTCTGTTCTCTCTTCCTTTTTGCTGACCACAGAGGCGCAGCCCGGTAAGAGTTCTCAACCTTTTAAACCTTAAACATGTAGAGAAAGTTTCTGCCAAAGGGAGGTGGCAAGGTTGCTTTCCCAGTACCGTTATGGTCACCCAGTGGCCAAGAAGCAGATGGAATGGGTTCACTGGTTGGAAGCGTCTGGATGTCTAAAAGTGAAGGCATAGTTTAGAATTATCAGAGCATTTGTCTATAACTGAATTAATTCTGCCTGGCATGTGATATAGGGGGTTTTGTTTGTTTGTGTGTGTGTGTGTGTGTGTGTGTGTGTGTGTGTGTGTGTGTCCAAGAACCAAAGTACAGTTAGAACAAAAGTTAATGGCAAAGTGATGATGATGATGATGATGATGAAGAGAAGAAATTTCTTCAGAAATAATAATAACTAACAATAACAGCAATGTGGAGCTGGAGAGATGGCTCAGTGGTTAAGAGTGTGTAAAGAACTTGAATTAGGTTACCAAAACACACATTGGGCAGCTCAGAGCTGCCTGTAACTCTAGCCCCAGGGAATCTGTCCTTTTCTTGACTCCGTAGGTGCCTGCACTCACATACACATAGCCACACAGACACACACATACATAATTTTAAAATAATAAAAATCTCCTATGAATATTAATGAAACTGAAGAAAGGAATTTTTAAACATCACTTTTAAGCCCGTTTTCAAAATATGCCCTCATACCATAACTTACATTGGTCTGTATGCACTAATGCATATTCCAAATTCACCCTGAGAAAGGGAGGCATATTCCTAGGCTGTCATATCATTCTAGACAGCTTTGACAAGATATTCATCCTGGTAGTTCACATTTTTCAGAGGGAAATCAGTTTTCCTCAGGTCAAAGGATCTCAAGCATTCAGAGCAATGCAGAAGCTGTTTAAATAACAGCTTCCATCTGTTCAGTCCCTTAGAGGTGTGGCTGTAGTGGCCATGCACATCTATAATCCCAGGGAGCGTTTAAGGCAGGAAAATCATTGCAAGTGCAGAGCCATTCTGGGCTACATATTGAGTGCAAGTCCACTTGGGGATGCAGAGACAGAGGGAGAGAGAGAGAGAGAGAGAGAGAGAGAGAGAGAGAGAGAGAGAGAGAGAGAGAGAGAGAGAGAGAGAGAGGGAGGGAGGGAGGGAGGGAGGGAGGGAGGGAGGGAGAGGAGGGAGGGAGGGAGGGAGGGAGAGAGGAGGGAGAGAGAGGAGAAAGAGCACAAAGCTCTCTGAAAATTAGTCATTACTATTTGAGGCAAATGCCACCCTACCCAATAACAAACTGCTGGTTTTCGATTTAAACCATGAGATGGAAACTTCAGAGACAAATATCCAGCCCTTAGGTGATTTCTCAGATTGTGACAACTCATAAGGAATGAATTCATTAATTCAAAATGACAAGTAATTCACTATTTTATAAATGCACATGTCTACATATGTATGTCTATATGTATGTATACACAAATGTATATATGTATATGTATGCATGCATATATATATATATGTGTGTGTGTGTGTGTGTGTGTGTGTGTGTGTGTGCACGCACACTTGCGGACGTGTGTGTATCTATATATCCCACAGTAGTCAATGGAATGGAAACGAGGTCACTTGAGGCTTCAGTCAACGGGCTTCCTTCTTGGGTGTGGCCTCTGTGGTGACAGCACCTTGACCTCACTTGTCATGCTGCAGCCTTGGATCCTCAAGGGCTATGCTGCACACTCAGCTGACAATGAGACCCTCTGACCCTCTTTCCTGTTGAGCTGGCTTGTTGCTGTTGGCCATTTGAATCCCGTCCTTTGCAATTGCTCTATTCTTTCTCATTTCAAAACAAACCAAGCTTTTCTGTGTATTTCTTCCATGTCTGACTTGCATGTAGCTCACTCCTTCCTGGGTGCATGTGATACTATTGCAGGAGCTCCCTTGCTGCCTTCCAATGATAAATGCATGTGAAAGGAAGGGACACATGTGGTATTCGGTGAATACTAAGGAAGTTCCCTTCCTGCTTCCTTGGACATTGCAACTTTAATAAAGTGAGCAGTGTAGATAGATCCAAAGGGCTTCCATTGAGGCTTTGGTATCTTCTATCTGCTAGACTGCAGTTCTCACAGTACAAAGTAGTACCCTCTCCTCTCAACCAGCTCATTAATCTTGGAGTTCAGTGCTTGAACCTCTGTGTCTCTTCCTTCAGACGTTAAAATAGTTCTCATATCTGGGGGTCTGTAGCCCAGAAAAACATTTCAACTCTGCTTTAACAATTCATTCTTCAGTCATCTGTCTATATGTCTCTTCTATCCAAATTCCCATGAGGTAGGTTGGAATCGGTGTATTTATTTCATTACTAGTAATGTGATCATTTTCTATCTGGCACACAGGGTAAGACCAGACAAATTGCCTTTTTCAGGCAAAACAAGCTAGAAGATGTAATATGTGTGATTAAGCCACCCACCAAGAAACATCTAATGGGTTTGTTCTAACTCAAACTGTTCCTCTGTCATAAATGGATTCAAACTAGGACAGAAAAAAATCTAATTTGCAAGCTCTAGGAAAGATGGACTACAGCCCATTGGTCTGCTGTAAAGTATTAAACCATGCCCTGCACTGTTAATGTTATTATCTAAGAGAATGCAACACGGCAGCTACCCTTCCCCACAGTGAGAAGGGGTGGGAATGGGTGCCTCTTGAACCACTTCCTTGCACTAACCACCTTCCCCCTTTCTCCTAAAGCAAGCCTCATGATGTCACCATCCTGGTGTCTTACATTTCTAGAAGAATCCATGCTAAGAACCTGTCACAACTTCTGATTTCAGTCGAAATGTTTCATTGAGTTGCTTTTCCTATTATCTAAGTGAGTTTGTGTCGAGACTCCTGGTCCTAGAGGTGACTTGCCTGGATGATCTCTGCCAGCTCTGTTTGCATTCTGCCAGAGGCCTTGCACTGAAGAGATGGCTCCTGGCTGACAGACTGGTGTCAGGAAGCGGGGAGAAGCTAACGGAGAAGATGGGTAGGGAGGATGGAACTTTTGGGATCCCTCTATAAATCACTCTTGTCAGTGGGGCATGAGTAAACGTCAGTCAGCAGTCACCACTTTTATCCTTCAAGTTCTGCCCATTCTGATGACTATCTCTGCTAACTGCTTCAGGGTCCCATCCGACCAGAAGAAGCCAGTACTCATACATTCTAGAATTTTCAAATACTAAACATTTAATAACTTTGGATGCTTATGTGCTAGAGTCCGAGGGACCTAGTTGTAAGAGACCAATTTGTGTCCTTACTAAATCCACCAAGGTAAGGGTCTTACTCATTCTGGTGACATATAGATGACTCTCCTTCTTCTCTGTCACTGTAGAGTAACATGAAAAGCTGGTGTGTGTGTGTGTGTGTGTGTGTGTGTGTGTGTGTGTGTGTGTGTGTCTACCCACAGATTCTTCAGTCTAGTTCTGGGTCAGATTTCCTTTTCCCAATCTGGAGTATCTTAGAGTTCAGTTTAATTGAAATGAAAGAAATAATACATATTGTACATAACATATATGTGGTCGTAAGCCTTATAGTGTTTATTTCTAATTCTAGGGTGCAATTAAAAGGAACTTATCCAGTAAGTATATCTTAGCTCCCAGAAATAGAGTATGGTGTGACAGAGGAATAGTTCCTTGTATCTTGGAGCATATTTGCATTCGAATTGCATAGTTTGGGGATTTATTTTTAAGGCTTTCATAACAAAACGTTTACAGCAAAGATTTCTTGTTATGATGGAGGGTATCTGGGTTCTGAATGATTAATGCTTAAATTCTCCAAACAAATATATTTTTGGACAAACACCAGTGCTGTCTTCCTGTATTTGTCAGCTCTTGTTGTATCTTTAAACCTAGAAGTTAATTTAATCAAATGTGTTTGATTAGACACACTGTAGCTAGAGGTGGGGAGAGAGGAGGAATGTCCAGAAGGAACTAAAGGCGGATACAATTTATCCATTCTTACATTATTGAATATGAAATGTTCAGTTCACCAAAGTGATATGGCATAGGTTATCACATATAGGATATGATACACCTCCTACAATATATCCTAGGAAAATCTAAATTCATTCTTAAAGTTTTCTTGCCATTTCAAAAAAAGAGCAGTTGACAACTGGATCTGTATACTATGGGCATGTGTCCTGGATTATTTTCCTGGTAACTGAGAGCCAGAACCCATTCAGGCAACAGGAATTTGAAGAACGGTAGTAGGCTGTTCCTCTGCGCTCTACAGTATATAAATCTTCAAACGTTGGCTTGTTTATGGTTTTTCTTTGGTTAATGAGGTTTTACAAATGCCAGAAAAATCCTACCACATATGGCAGGTATATGGCTGTCGCATCGCCAGGAGAGAGGGTTTGTTTTGCAGTTTTCATGTTAAGTTGCTTATTGAAAAGGCTTAAATCTTGAAGTGTTTTCAAATATAGCTCATATATCACATCAGAAGTGACTGCTAAAGATATGCCTTAAAAGGTCTTTGTCCTGTGTGTCAGGTGAAGAAGTCGCAAGGCCCAGGCGTTCCACCCCAACTCCAGAGCTTACAAGGTGAGCATGTAAGATCCTGGTTGTGTTTTACTCATCATGAACTTTTAACTATTCAGCAAATATCCTCCAGGCATCATGAATGAAGGCCCGAATGTGTGTATGAGTTTATATATCTACAGCATGGGCCAAATTTGCTGTCATTGCTTTGGGTAAATGCCTGCATTTGTCTATGGCAGAATGTATGATCTATTCACTGGGGAGAAAAACTAAAGTTCAGTATAAAGTAATTTTGGATTTCTGGAATGTTCATCTGAAATACATTATATTGCCTTAAAAAAAGAGAAGTTGGATAGTTGGATATACTTTCATGATATATTCCAACTTCCCAACCAAAAGAACCTTCTATTTTGCTCTCCCAGTGCCCCATCACTACACACACACACACACACACACACACACACACACACACACACACACACACACACACACAAATCATTGTATTTCACAGTGGATTATTTGAGTGAAGTATTATACAAATAGTTAATGTTTCCCACAATGATAGTTATATTTCAGTTATATTTCTTTAAAACTTGGATTATTTGCCTTCTCATCGTCCACCTACTTCTCCTCTTTCCCCTCCAACCTTCACCTGCATGACATGCTCACAGAGATCATTAGGCTCCCTGATAGAAATCAGGTCCAGGGAAAGAATGGAAACAATAAAATCATACAATAACCCATCTAGATAAGTAGTCAGGAGGAAAATGAAATTCCTCAGTACTCTTATGATGTATTGGGTTGGGTCATCACTAGTTTATTAAGTAGGAGGGGTGAGATGAAATTAGAAACTGAGTGTCCCAGTTTTTTCATTCCAACACAAACTTTCTGGGCACCGCATATATAGCTCTGTGCTTGACTTTATCATTAAACTGCATTAAGTGCAGAAAGAAATAAGGTGATGGCTTGGTTAGGGTTTCTATTTCTGTGATAAAATACTTTGACCAAAGGTTTATGGGTCTCAGGTCACAGTCCATCATCAACGGAAGTCAGAGGAGAAGTCTGGAGGCATGAGCTGATGAGGAGACAGTGAAGAGAGCTACTTACTATCTTTCTCCTTGTGGCTTGCTAAGCCTGCCTTCTTACAGGACTCAAGATCACCAGCCTAAGGGTGGAACTACCCACAATGGGCTGGGCCTTCCTCATCTATCATCAATCAAGAAAATGCTCCCACAGACTTGCCTTCAGACCCACCTTAATAGGGACATTTTCCCAACTAAGATTCTTGCTTCCCAGATAACCCCAGCTTACATCAAGTTGACACAAAAACTAATCAGCACAGACAATGACAAGTACATATTTTTAGGCCAGTCATGTTGACACACATCTGTAGCTCAGAACGTGGGGCAAAGGCATAAGGATCATGAACTTTAAGACAGCCCAGGCTTTATAAGAAGCTGTCTAAAAACCATATAAAGCAAACGTGTACAGTTTTTTAGTTCATGAGACAGAAAAGTTGTCTTGTAATAAACTGGCATCTCTAATATGTCTCTTCTATGTGTAGAGACTTACCATTGTATTTCTGTTGGAACTGACCCTAGGCCTCTATTCAACTTCAGGGTCTTATCTCTCGCCATGACCTTTTCCCATATGGCATCTGCATGTGATGCTTTCTAAGTCCAACAGAAGCTTTGTACATACCTGTGAGTGCCTGAGTACACAAGTACTTGTTTAACTGAGGAAAGTATTTGAAAGTTTGTGTATGGTTTTGGGCATTAATTTTTGGTTCTTCTCTCTGTATATTCTGCCTAAAATGCATGCTTTAGCAAGAAGCCTCCAGATGACACGCTGGCCCTTGCTCCTCTCTTTGGCCCACCATTAGAATCAGCTTTTGATGAACAGAAGACAGAAGGTAGGGAATGGTGTATCTTCTACAGCACTGCTGTGAAGTGACTTCTCTGAAGTAAATGTATGTGATTGTGTATTGTGAATGCACCATCAAACCCTCATGGTGGGAAAAACGCTCCAAGTGAAGTGTGCTGTCATTTTAGCTGAAAAACATCTATTAGTTTAGGATTTAAACGTTTATCCCCAGGCCAAATGAATGCCAATCTACACCAATCCTGATGAGGGTGAATGAACTCTAAGCCCGAGAGCTGCTGTGAGAGGTGTGGGCAGGGGTATAAATGCAGAGTGCTCTTCTCACACTCAACAGTGAGGCCACTCTGAAGGCATTGGTTCTTTCCCAGCTCATCAGGGTAGTGTCAGTGGCATGGTTTGCAGGTCTGCTAGCCCAAGACCCAGAAGCATTGCCAATCATTTAGCAGTGCTAGAAGAGAAACACCTTCATTTCTGTCATTAGTATTAGGTTGCCTACTAAATATTTATTCTACAACTAAATATTTACGTGTTTGAAATTCATTTATAAATCATGTATGTCTTGTTGATACAAAGCACCCCTTTAAAACAGGGATCTAGTCTACACTTGAGTTGTATTTATACCCAATGCATATATTTCCAATAAGTGTGTTTGATATTATTGAATGTCATTATAAAAATTGTTTGACTAAGCTGGGTGGTGGCAGCACACACCTTTAATCCCATCACTTCAGGGTCAGAGGAAGATGGATCTCTGTGAGTTCGAGGCCACCCTGGTCTACAAAGCTACATAGAGAAACCCTGTCTCCAAACCCTCCCTCCCCCAAAGTATTTTACTTACAAACTCTAAATTGGGACTGGACATATGGCCCCACTTTTATGGAAATATAGTTAAGAGCATGCACTGATGTTGCAGAGGGCCCACCCAAGTTCAATTTTGAGTTCCCACGTTGAAAAGTTCACCATTGCCTGTAACTCTAGCTCCAGGGGATCCATCCCTCTCTTCTGAACTCCAATGGCACCTGCACTCACTCGCCCATAGACAGACACACATACATACACATAATTAAAAAATACTATCTTTAAAAAGAAAGAACTCTAAACTATATGTGTAATAAGATGGTAACTTTCTAGGCCCCCAATAGAGAACTATCCTTAGTACTTACATAATAAGCTGGGCATAGTAGTACACACCTTTAATCCTAGCACTTGGGAGGCAGAGGCATGCAGATCTATGTGAGTTCAAGGCTATCCTGGTCTACAGAGTGAGTTCCAGGACAAGTGGAGCTACATACTGAAAATCTGCCTTGAAAACAAAGACTTATATAATAACTAGACAAGAAGACTAAGCTAAAGTAACAGAGATTTCAAAGTACAGTAACTAAGACAGAATTTTATTTATTGGTAACAATATAGTGGTAAACCTATATTGTGGGGATACTCTTTAGTCCTCACTGGTTACCCTCATCTCGGAATGCAAGGACTTGCTCCAAGTCTTATCCTTTCTAGAAGAAAAGCAGTGGATGAAGCCAAAGAACTCACTGATACCTGTTACAAGTGCAAACTCTAAAAAATGCACACATCACTTTTAACCGAAGTGCACTGCAGAGAATTTGGTAGGATGTGACCAACGGAAACTTCTTTTCTATGAAGAATGGCTCAGTAGCAGCCAGCTGCACCTGGATGCTCTGAATGATGTAGTTAACAATTTATAAAACCCATTCTTCAATACCTTCTCAGTGTCATTATCCTTTTAACCTAGAGCTATATAAAATGTAGCCTCAGGGAAAGGCTGTCACTTGTATTATTAAGCCATCTGTAATCAGTTTCATCATTTATGACATAATTTGTGAGGTGACTAGTGTTGAGAGCTGGTGTGTCCCATCTGAACCTGTGCATTTAAAGGATTCATTCCATAAGTACACAGAAGAATCTCCCATGAGAATAGAAGTTGTTTTTGTTGATTTTTTTGAGCCCGGGTGTTCCCCTTGTTCAACCCATGGAAGTAATGCGGGTTCCAGCACAGTGCTTAGGCTTGCATGGAGGAATGTAACAGAGGAAGACATACATCTAGATGCACTGATGAGCCTTATTTGTCTGGCTTTAACCACTGAAGTTTGGCAAAGTTCCGACATTTGCTCCAACCACACCAGCCCTTCCCATGGCCACACCTCTCTTTCCTATTTGCTCACTCTTCTTTCTTTAGGTTGATGTTCTGTGGTTGGTTGCTTGGAAGACCCTAGGAGGGAAAGGTGTGTGGCTTGGAAAGAGCTGTGCTTGCATCCAGTCTCAGCTGCTCTACTCTTTCTGTAAACAAGTGTTTGCTTTTTCTCTCCCCAAAATGGTACTGACTTTTACCACATGGTGGTGCTGTGAGAATGAAATACAAAATAACAGCTATTGGCCTTATATGCGTGCTTGATGTACTTACTTTGTGTACACATGTATTTGCAAGCCCACTACCACCTTCATCCCCCTCAGTTACTCCTGGAGTTATTATTGTCTCCCTTTTCTGCTGCAGGGGAAGCTCAGAGAGGTTAAATGGCTTGCCCGAGATTCTACAGTAAGCTAGAAGCTACAATGAACTCCTCATCCAACTTAAGTTCCAGCCTGCACATTGAATAGCAATACATTTACTGAAAAGGACTAGTTATTTACACATGAACGATAACAACCTAAACATCAAAACAAAAAGAAAATAATGTTAAATTCAGTGCTCTCAGACCAATACTTCATTGCCTTGATTTGCTTCATATATCTAAAGAAATATTCAATTTCTGGTTCCTGGACTGGAGAAATGGCTCAATATCTAAGAGCACTGGCTATCTTTCCATGGGACCTGGGTTCAATTCCCAGAACTGACAAGGCAGCTCACAGTCATCTATAACTTCAGTTCCCGAGTATCCAACTCCCTCTTCTGGCTTTCTTGGATATCAGGCATGTACGTGGTAAACAGGCATACATGAAGGCAAAACATCCATGCACATAGAATAGAATTATAATTTATTTTAATTTTCTGGTTCTCTTAAAATGTTCAACAAGCGTCTTGAGAATAACCATTCTTCTTTAAGATGCTATAAAGGGTTAAGAGACTGAACCATCCTTAAAAACAGGAACCGATGCACAGAATCCAGACATGTTCAACACTGAAGCATATTCATAGAAGTCTTTAGATATACCGACTAACAACAAAATAAATGTTCTCAAATTAGCTCCTAAAATGCTTGAATGGTACAGAAATGGGGGCAGTATGTGTAGCAGCATCCAGGATGTCCTTAGGTGACCAGCCAGGAAGAAAGCATGGTTTAGAATTGGATTCTCCTTTAATTTAGCTCCATGTCCACACACAGCCACCCCCTTGCCCCCCACGCATCATGTTTCTAGGTCTGTCCTCTGCCTGAAGAGTGTGTGGCTCAGCACACTCCTAAATTAAACATCTAGGACAACGCAGGGTGTGGGCTCATGTTGTGAAGCTCCACTTCAATCGACGTTCTGCATTCTTGTTTGAACTTACCCTGAGATTTTGTTTTTACGTTTCCAGTTCTTTTGGATCAGCCTGAGATATGGGGTTCAGGACAACCAATTAACCCAAGCATGGAGTCACCGAAGCTAGCAAGACCTTTTCCCACTGGAAGTAAGTTATGTGTCTGACTCATTTTACTGTCTGTCTGCATAGTAAAATTTTAGGCCACTGTTAGAAGACTTGGGTAGATAATATTTGAATTTAAAAAGAGATTATTCACTAATAGTCTAGGTCAGGTTACCTAAGCTGGAGTGAAATAACAAAATGAAGCAGTGTTGTCAGCCTTGAGGCCACCCCTCTTCTGACATCTTACATGATCTTTTGTCCATTCATCCCTCTCACATGACTATGTGCTGGACAACCACACAACACAGCACTGAGCAAGTCCAGCTGGGTCTCTGCTGGTCCCAGTGAAAAAGTGGGAATGCACAGGACAGAAAGAACCCATAGACGGGAAAGACAACCTGGAAGGCAAGACAGACAGGCTCTCTAGCAGAAAGACACTGCAATGAAACCAAGACAAATGTGTGGCAGTGCTGCTGGTTTCAACCCGGGTGATGGAGCAGGGTCCTGAAAGGCCTTGTAAATTCCAAACCTCTGGTGAGTTGGACTAGTTTGGCTGATTGGGTTAGTCACTAGGTCAAGTCAGTCACCCACAGATTTACAAAGTCTCCATCAGCAAACACCTATAGCAGGAGGTATGTAGAAGGTGCTGCTTGGAATCCTCATTGGAAGAATGGATTTTAGGAGAAGATATACGGGAAATGAAGGAGCATGGAGGGAGGGCCTTTTTTCTTTTAATGCATCAAGACTCACCAGTAAATACTTTCTCCAGTCCAGCATCCCTGGGGCTTTGCTTTTGGCATCTAAAACTGATGACAGGAATTAACCAAAGGGATTCAGAATTAAAGGCTAAAAGGTTATGTGTGGGGAATGTTGTCACTCTAAGGTCATATGATCCAGCCTTTGTAAAAATATTTTTCTCAAAAACAGGGTGGAAAAGTAAGAGTCAGCAGCTTTTCCTAAAGCTCTGAACTTTGAATGGTGTTACCAGAGCTGGTTTGAACCACAGAAGCAGGATTCTGAGTGCATCCCTGGGAATGTGATGCAAAGCCAGTGAAAAGGCCTCTGTTTGGACCCTTTCTTTACAGATCTAAGCTATCCAAATTATTCCTAGAAAATAAACGACAGTCATGTCGGAACTTGAGAGCTAACTGTAGACACTGCATGTCCATGCAGCACAGCTGAGGCTGCTGTTTAAATGATGCACAGCCTACAGTTCTGCTTGCTTTGTGGTTGCAGTGCAAGTTCACCTCTTTAGTGCTAGGTCTTATGGTACTTTATTTATATTATGGTATCTAGTGATTATCTTCTTGGCTTTTTATAGAGGTGATGAGTGAAAAACAAAACTTCTGGTTGGCTCCTAACTTCTGAGGGGAAGAGTCCACTTGGGAATAGATTTCAATAGCTCATAACTAAGATTAACACCGCTCATGAGGCTGGAGACATGGTTTGATAGTTTAGAGCACTGGCTGCTCTTGTAGAGAGCCGGGGTTTGGTTTCCAGCACCCATGTGGCTGCTCACAACCATCTGTAACTCCAACTCCATAGGATTAGGAGACACTGTCCTGTGGATGCCATGGGCACATACATGCAGGCAAACACAAAATTAAATTATTTAAAAATTACGTATCCATGAGCTTTAAGATAGATAGGAGTGTGTGTGTGTGTGTGTGTATGTGTGCGCGCGCGCGCGCGCGCATGCGCATGCACTCGTTGCTGGTGGAGATGGGAGGAATGTCGGGAAGACACTCTTCCTGAGGTGTCCAGGGTAAAGAGGACTAGTCAAGGGCTCTCTAGCTTTGGACCCACTTGGCTCATCTGATCTTAGGATATGAAATACGGGCCCATACTCAGGTTCCTAATGAGAGAGGGCTTATGACAACCTTGTGAATTCTTGAATCTATCAGACATGACAAGTAGAAAAAATAACATACATTTAAAGAAAAAAGAAAATTTATGTAGGGGCCAAAATGCTATACTTTTTATCTTAGCATCTTATTTCCTAAGAGTGTTCATTGGGAATGTTATTCTTTGGCCCATTACTTCATTCCTGATTTCCTAAGACAGTCTTAGGGTTTCTATTGCTGTGAAGGGGCATCTTGACCACAGCAACTCTTATAAAGGAAAACACTTAATTGAGGTGGTAGCTTACAGTTTCCGAGGTTTAGTCCATTATTATTATGACAGGAAGCATGGCAGCTTGGAGTATGGTGGCATGAAGGCAAATATGGTACTGATGAACTCTACATCTTGATCCAAAATCAACAGAGACACTGGGCCACTAAGCATATCTTGAGCACAAGAGACCTCAAAGCCCATCCCCACAGTGACACACTTCTTCAAAAAAGGCCACTCCTACTCCAACAAAGCCACACCTTCCAATAACACTATTCCCTATGAGCTTATGGGGGCCTATTATACTTGAACTACCACACCCCCTAAGTGTTTAAAAGCATAGTATTGCAAAATCTTTCCAGATACAATCAATATAGGCAGCAAGATACCCACAGCTAAACACTGAACTGAACTCCTGGACCCCAGTTGCAGAGAGGGAGGAGTGATGAGCAAAGAGGTCAAGACCTGGCTGGTGAAGCCCACAGAGGCAGCTGACCTGAACAAGGGGGAGCTCATGGACACCAGACTGATGGTTGAGATGCCAGCATGGGACTGATCCATACCCTCAGAATGTGGGTGTCGGTGAGGAGGTCTCAGCAATATATGGGGCCTCGGTAGTGAATCAGTATTTATCCCTGGTGCTCGAATGGACTTTGGGAGCCCATTCCACATGGAGGGATGTGCTCTCAGCCTGGACACATGGGGGAGGGCCTGGGCCCTGCCTGGGATGATATGACAGACTTTGGCCATGGAGTGCCTCACCCTCCCTGGGGATTGGAGGGAAGATGGGATGGGGAGCTGGTGGGGGGGAGGGAGAGGAGGGGAGAGAGAGGGAGCTGGGATTGACATATGAAACAGGTTTTCTAATTTAAATTTAAAAACAATATAGGCAACATTATCTGACTAGATTGAAAAGCTTTCCCTGGTGCCCCCTCAGGACTATGGCTGTTTCTGTGGTCACACCCTGGACTGGAGCTATGTGTTACCAGGATTCATAATCAATCACCAGTCCTCCAGAACACAGCCAGTGTTTATTCAACGCAGTGCCCCTTGCTCCTAGTAAAGGAATTGAACTTAACTGTGGCTTGATGTTTGTTGAATGAATAAAATGTTGATATTTAGTTATCTGACCTTTTGCAAAACTCCTATGGTCACAAGATGGAGGAATCCGAATGCTTCTGTCTCTTGGAGACCTAGTTATGGTTATCATTGCTGTGATCAAACACTATAACCAAAGACAACTTGGGGATAAAAGGGTTTATTTGGCTTACATATCACAGTCCATTGAGGAAAACCAAGAAAAGAACTCAAGCAAGGCAGGAACCTGGAGGCAGGAGCTGATGCAGAGGCCATGAAGGATGCTGCTTACTAACTTGCTTCCCATGGGTTGCTCAGCCTGATTTCCTATAGGACCCAGGACCTGAGCTCAGGGGTGGCCCCGCCCACAATGTGCTGGGCCCTCCTACATCAATCACTAATTTTGAAAATGCTCCCCAGGCTTGCCTGCCATCCTGTATTATGGAAGCGTTTTCTCAATCAGGGTTCCCTCCACTTCAGTGACTCTAGCTTGTGTCAAAGGTGACATAAAATTAGCCAGCACACTTGACGCTGCAATTTTTAAAATGTAGACCGTTCCCAAGACTAGATGCATGAATAGAAGCCCAGATCATGCTTCTCCTCCCTTTTCATACAATCCAGGAAGACATGGGATCGCTGACACTCTGCTTCTCTCTTTGCAGCACCTCCACCTCTGCCTCCAAAAACTGTGCCAGCCACCCCACCACGAACAGGCTCCCCCTTAACAGTTGCAACAGGTAAAAGAGGTTTTTATACTTCTGAGATGATGTGGCAAACAGATCCATGACCTTGGACGACAACATGCCCTTGAAGCTTTGGGAAGCAGAGGCTGTGCTGACATGCACAGTGCTCGTATTGGGTTTCAATGTCACTGCAGCTTACTGTGCTGACTTACTGTAAGGTACACTCCCAGGTTTCACACAGGCATCCACAGGGTTTTTTAAGCGTAATTTTATATTATGGGGGCTGCATTGGTTATAAAGTAGAATAAAGTAGCCATAACATGAAAAGTTAACTATTTACTCCCCCTCTCACTTGGTTGGCTCTCATTTGAATGACTTGAATAGTCTCACGGTGCAATTTGTGAGAGTAACCTGTTGGGGGGATTATTTTCCTCAGTGGTCATTTAAATATTTAATCATTTCACTGCAAGGGCTGTAGTAATAATTATAAAATATGGCAAGGAATTGCTGCAAACTATTTTATATGTATCATTTCTGGGACACAGCTTTTCCTTTCTATTAAAATCAATACTGTACATTCATGCAATTTATAATCTGCCAGGTCTTACTGGACAAGCAATTCAGAAGTGGTAATGGTGGTTTTATTTACCTGAGCTTTAGAGTGTGGCTCTTTATCACCTCTGGAGTCCTGTATCAGCTTTATGCCTGGTTGTCCCTGCAGCCTGCTAAGTTTGATAGAGACAGAATAAAGTATTTATCAGAAAAATAGAAATTTAGGTGCAGTCACTTGTGAAATTTATAATGACTCAATAAAGAGTCACCAAAAGCATCATAAGTAAGCTATTTGCAACTTCAGTTGTTAGGAGACCCTGCGTCTCCATAAATTGTATTAGCTGCAAATAAATCTATAAGCCACAAAATCATAAATTATTGTCAGTCATGTAAAAGGCTACATTTATCTGTGACTTTTCTGCCTTGGAAATTAACTCTTTTCCGATCATAAATAAGGAAATACCAAGCCAGTTTTTATAGCCTATGAATCATCCACAAGTAAGGTGAGGTATGGCTGTGCCTTTGAGACATTTAAGCAGCAATTTCTAATTTGAATAATCTTATTGTTGCTTTGAAAGAAAAAATAACTATTTTCCAATTTGTAGCCATCCAATATTTTATACTTCGCTGAAGGATTAAGTTTTTAATTTTCCCTCTTATTGATATGTGTAGAAAAGAACACACTGCTGATATTTAAGCAAAATGAAGTATATCATACTTCAAAAAGAAATATATTGCCTACGGTATATTAACAAGCTCTGCTTCATGGGAAATGAAATGCTAAAGATGTTTCATGATTTCCTCCTGTTACACAGGGCGTTTCTAATCAGTAACAAATGCCTTGCTGTGTCCCCTGTGTGTTTTGTGTATGCAGTATGTTGTATGTGTTTGTACACATTTATGTGGGGTTATTTCTTAATAATCTTGTTGTGTTTCTGGTGTACTTAAAGAAAATCTATAGCTAAATGTGATGTCCTATTTTTTTCAATTATCAGAAGTTGTCATTAGTTTTCCCAAACATCCTGTTTAACAGCCTGGACAGGAGAAGCTCTGTAAAGATGAGGCTGGTACTCAGGGCTCAAATCTTGTGCTGTGTTCTGTGTATTCAGCAGGCTAAGTTTTCAAGAATGCCCTCCCCTTGGATAGTTGCCCTTCCAGAGCTCTTGACCCTGCTACTGTCTTTTCACCGCTGCTCCACTGGAGGACAGTACTGTGCTCAGCATTTTAAATAATAGAGAGGTGCTCCACCACAGTCACCTTACATAGGAGTAAACGCTAGCATAGAAATATGCATCACGTATTGAAGTGAGTGCCTTACCTCTCCTTTCAGTACTTAATCTAGTAAAGGTATTTCCACATCATGAAGAATGCCCATTGAGGCATCATGCATGGTACAATATGCGTGCTAAACTTTGCCTTTACCCTCCTTCTAGCCCCTATCTAGACAAGTAATAGTAAGAGTTAATAAAAATTTAAAATCAACTACTTTAACCACAGGAAATGACCAGGCAGCCACAGAGGCCAAAATTGAGAAACTGCCATCCATCAGTGACCTGGACAGCATTTTTGGCCCAGTGTTGTCCCCCAAGTCTGTTGCTGTTAACACTGAAGAGAAGTGGGTCCATTTCTCTGATGCATCCCCGGAACATGTTACTCCAGAGTTGACTCCAAGGGAAAAGGTGGTGACCCCACCAGCTGCATCAGACATCCCAGCTGACTCCCCAGCTCCAGGCCCAGCTGGCCCCCCAGGCTCTGCAGGTCCCCCAGGGCTACCTGGTCCTCGCAGTGTACCATCTCCGCTCAATTTAGAAGAAGTGCAGAAGAAAGTCGCTGAGCAGACCTTCATTAAAGATGATTACTTAGAAACGCTCTCCTCTCCTAAAGAGTGTGGGTTGGGACAGAGAGCAACTCCACCTCCCCCACCACCACCCACCTACAGGACTGTGGTTTCGTCCCCCGGACCTGGCTCGGGCAGTGGTACGGGGACCACCAGTGGTATGTCTTACTGTTTGAGTGTGCTTCGTGTGCTGGGGAATGGCTGTGGCTGCCGCCATGTGAGCAACACCCTCCTCCTGCCTGGCAACTGGCTGTAGGGCTTCCGCCATTCCTCCTCTGGTCTGGTGTCCTGTGGCCCTGTGGCATGTTCTAGTCCATTGAATGCTCCAGTCATAGTCCAAGTCTGTGGATGTGTCTTGTCCTGCACTCCCAGCCCTAGGAGTGCCCTGACTTCTACCCTACACTTAGAAGGTATGGGCAGTGGGGCGCTATTTGCTTCTTACAAAGAAAACTGTGATGTCATTATTTAGAATTCTGGAAAGTTCTAGAAGGAGAAATGTCACAGCAAGTAGATTACAAGGTAAATGTCTGATTTATTTCCTTTTTCTTTTTTTTTCTTCCACCCCCACCCTGTAAGTACCCGTCAGGGGTCCTACAGTTTACAAGTCAAAGTGTGGGGGAGGATCCTGAGGTTCGAAAAGGAGATACTTGAGGACCTGAGCCACCTGATCAGGTCTCTGATAATCAGTGTTCGACATTCCTCAGGCCACTGTGCCACCTCTAGGTAGAGTGACAGGCAGTGGGAATTAGGATGCAAGCTCTCCTGTTGAAGTTTTTTTCACCTTCATTTGAAGGTGCATTTTGTGTTTTCTAATTATAAACGATAGGAACACTTGCCATGCACGCCAAGGAAATACCAAGGTTTTCCCATACCACTCACTCCACTGTGGCTCAGTCCACCTGTTCAGAGGCTCAGTGTTTCTTTCCTCTGGATGCAGCTTCGGTCTCAATGTCTTTCAGGACTTTGATATATGCCTGGAAAGAGGCCACCAGGTTTGAGGGACTTAAATCTAGAAAGTCACAGGGGGGAAAGGCATTTGCCTCCATCCTAATCCCCTCACTGGGACCTCTTTAGAGAGTGTCTTCCAAAGCCTGAATGCACCTGTGCTTTGTAAAGCAAAAGATCCTGGGTACGTCAGAGTTGGCTGGGTTAACTGTGTGCTAAGCCCAGCTTCCCTACAAAGGAACACAATCAAGACTTAAGTTTGGGGAGCAAAGCAGTGAACAAAACCAACTAGCATCTTCTCCGTAAGAACTTTGAGAGCTTTTGTTTTCCAGTAATAAGAACAACTAAATATATTACTTCAACCTTGCAACAACCACCTGACTTTAGTATTTAAATGCCCCCATTTTACATAGTCAGAAACAAATACTGTTGAGGGGTTTCAGACATGAACACTAAGACAGCATCCAGCCATGTGTTGTGCTCCTGACCACTGTGTGTGTTCTTTGGGTACTTCTGAAAAGTTTGGCCACAAAACAGGCTGAACTCACTTTACTGCTAACACCCACCTCTTCCTTACAGTGCTGTGCACTCTCCGGGGTGCTCTTTAAAGACCCGACTCTGTGCTTCTCTCTCTAGTCCTAGAATGCTGGGGCAGCTGCTCCCTACAGTGTTACCTTGCAAGGTCTTGTCTGAGATACAAAGCTATGTGCTTACCTGTAAAGAGAGTAAAGAGCCCCTTGAACAGCAACCCTGAAGAAGCTGATGTGCTCTTATTCCTGGGCTAGGCTCTTAGGGTTATGAAAGGGCATTTCAAAAAGTAGTAACCAACAGTTCATGATGGGCCATCATGCACTCATTAAAGCGAATACCTACAGTCAGGGAAGTCAGGGTGAGTTTGATCTTCCTGTGTTCTCCAGTGCCTGTCATATTTACATTACCTGGCCACTGAGTTTGTGTGGAAGAGTGGCTCTTCTTTCTGTTCTTGGAGCTCTGAGAGTCTGGTTACTATGTCAGTGTTTAGCTCTTGTTTGAACTTATTTTCCAAATGTTACCAATAGATTCTGTTAATTCTTACTAATAGAGCTAGAGAAAGCTATGTTCACTTGCATTAAGGGGTTGGATTTATAAGTAGAAGACTGAACTCAGCTAATGAAACCCATGAATAAATAAAACTTTATACCATTATGTCCTTAATTAAGTCCCAGTTAATGTGTGACTTCATCTAGTATTGATGAAACAGAGACAAACTGCCAGAAATGAAAATTTAGGATCTCAATCTTAGGATGTTTGAATTCTGATCTTCATGACTCTTAGCCTGGCATGGCCAACTCTTCCTAGATATCTCAAAGTAAGCATGAACATACCCAGTATATTCCCAGTACAGGTGACTGCTGCTATGACAAGTGACCCTACCCACAGCATGACTCAGAAGAGGTACTTGCTGCTAAAACAGCTGGAGACTAAGCAAAAAGTTCCTAAGCCTCAGCTAAGCATGATTTCATTGAAATGGAGGTGCCAGTTCTTGGTGTCTATGTGGTGTGGGTGTCCAGGCACTGGAGAAACATGCTGCTAGCCTGCAGCAAGTGTAGAAGTCAGGGAAAGAGAAGAGTTAGGCTCCCAGTGATATGTTCCAGCTCAGGAAACTAATACAGCACTCAACTATATTATTCAAAATCACACACACACACACACACACACACACACACACACACACACACACAATGACTTTGAGCAACCTGGGGTTATCTCTTGGTTAGAGCTACTACTGTGATGAAATACCATTACTAAAAGCAACTTGAGAGAAAAAGGTTTATTTGGCTTAAATGTCCTGAGGGAAGTCAAGTCAAGAACTTAAACAGGCCAGGAACCTAGAGTCAGGAACTTGCTCAACCTGCTTTCTTATAGAACATTGACCACCAGCACAGCGTGGTACCACCCACAATGGGCTGGGCCATCCCACGTTACTTACAAATTAAGAAAATGCTTTCCAGGCCTCCCTACAGCCCAATTTCATGGAGGCATTTTCTCAATTGAAGTTCCCTCCTCTCAGATGACTAAATCTTGTGTCAAGTTGACATAAAAGTAACCAGAAGAGGTTGAAATGGCAAAATTAATTGATGATCTTGGAGAAAGGGTGATTAGCTTCATCTGACAGACCAAAGAACAAAACTCGAAGAGGTAATCTGACCCTGGTCACAAACCTTATGAGTAGTAGAGCATGGATCTGCCAAAGTGCTGTTGGATTCCACGTCCTGCATCTCTGCCATTTCCACTCAGCCGCCTCCACTGGCCCCAGCCCCTCCCATAAACAGACACATAGGAAAGGACGTACAGATACATATGTGGTCTTCAAACACTGACTAGAGTGAAGGTTGAGAGCAGCAAATGGGTCAAGAGCAAGTGAAGGTTGTCAACACTTGCAGCTCATAATTTAAGAATTAAACAATGGATTTCCCAATGTATTTCACATCGTCCTTCTCGACAATAAGCACTGCATGGAGGTAAAATGGAAAGATGCTTGAAAACCAGAGAGGATAGAGATGTCCCTAGCACCTGAAACCAGTGAGCAATATGGAGCATTGGTTTGCTTGTTAGATGCGCATCGGGCCCTGCACACCCCCTGCTAGAACTTGTGGTTCTGCCCAGTAGGGATAAATCAACGTGTCTTTTAGTTTCTATACATTCCTTGACCATCTTTCTGAATAATCTATCAATTCTATTACTTTGACAAGACTAATGTGACATAAGTAAGGAGTCTATAAAGGAAAAGAAAAATAATTAACTTTTCAACTAGTAACATTTTTCTTTTGTTTTTAACCTATACCTGCATCAAAAGACAGTCCTTCAGTATCAATTGCCTTGCATTATACAGTATCTTAGCGCTAAGCAAATCCAGAAGTGCTTTCAGTTTGGGTTTTTATCAGTATCTGTAGTAGCCCCATATTGTGGTGCTAATCTGTATTAACCAGGGTTCATGCCTGAGAGGGTGAGTGTGGTTTGAGAAATGGCAGGTACAGATACTAAGGATGAGAAAGACACAGAATAAAGTCAGGAGGGCACTCCAGTGAATACTGAACACACCAAGTTTATGCCTTAGTATTCTTATGTACCCCAACCAAAAAGGGGAAAATGGCAAAAGACTTCTTTATCTTGTACAAGGAACAAACAGACTTTCTTCCTTAATTCTCCAAACATGCCTTAGACTAAATCTCTCATTATCTGACCTTGAGGGTTAAGAGTAACCACACCTCAGACCAAGTCTCTTGTTATTTAGATAAGACATCAACAACCAAAGCCAAGCATCCTACAGTAGCACCTTAGACCTTTAGGTCTTATGACACTAATCTTGGAAGAGTAAGGATGTTTTGAGTTCTCTGACCTTAAGGCAAGATGAAGACAAGCCATTTTTATGGGCCCCAACAAGTACCTTTGTAAGGTAGAACATTTCTAACATTTTGAGACACAAAAGCTGAGTTTCAGAGAGGTAAAGATCCCACTCAAAGCTGAGAAAGGGACACTGGGTCCAAAACTCAGCTTTTCACCCAATCATATTGCCCTGGAGACAGTCCTCAGCCCAAGCATTACTGGAAGGGGTCTTGAATTTCTCTTCTGAAGCTGGTGTTTGACTGAGCTCGATTCAGAAGACTGTGGGCCCATGAGCAAACATTTTGGACCTAAAGTTGAATAAGATAGTCCTAAAGTTGAATAAAACACTCCTTTGTCCCCCCAAAAAATTCCATGAGAACTTCTGACAAAGCTCCACTGTTGAAGAATATATTTCCCATCTCTATACTGTCACATCTATGTTCTAAAAATATACTGAGCATAACATGTACTTAATACTCAAAAGAAACTTTGTAGTGGGCCTGTCAATCATACTTTGTTTTTAAAAAGAATGTGAGACAAATTTTAAGGACATTTAGGCTACAAAAAGATGTGTGCAAACTGTCAAGGTGGAGTCAAAAAGACTGTATGCAAATTGTGGCAGTTTATAGTCTATCTGAAACTTCAAGAGACAGACATGCTTTGGAGTCTAACAAACCATTTGTGCTTTGTCGTCATGGATGTGCCACTAAAAGACCTTCAGTCTTCACTGAGCTGCACACTGAGCTACTCTCAAGACTAAGCAGGAGGATGACATCACACGTGTAAAGTACTAGCACAGATCCTGGCCCAGTAAAACAAAGTAAGGGTAGAATGAAAGAAGACAGTTAGTGGTACTAGCAGAGGCATGGGGGAGGGGGCAGTAGCAGTGTCTACACACTTAGGACGTGCAAAAGAGACCACTCAAGATTTCACTCTTTAAACAAGAGAAGCAAAGCTCACCCCTCAGAGACTCTCTTAAGATGAGAAATGATTCTGAGATGGGTTTTGCTTCTCAGATTCAGAGCTCTTTGAGAATCTCAAAATCTGGACGGAGGTGCTGGTCTAGGACTCCAGTGGTCCTGGTTTTGTGTTTTACTGTGTAAAGGAAATAGCTGAAGGGCTTGGAGATGTGGTGGTAGGGATGGGTGGATATGGAGGCAGCTGGCAAAATGGGGGATGTGGGGTGGCAGTGTGTGGAGGCAACTGGGGGAGTGGGAAGTGTGGGAGCAGGGACATGTGGGGATAGCGAGAAGGCTGGGGAAGGCTGGTGGAGGCAGGAGAGTATGCTGAAGCATGATTTTACAGCCTGCTTTTTCTAACCAAGTGAAGAAGAACTGTCTGGGCCTCAATTTCGCCTCCTAAGGTTTGGGGCCAGGTAGTTCTCCATGCATCCCGGACTTATGACTGAAGACAGACGGGTCCCTGAGCACCGAGCTCAGTGTGCATGCCAGCCTCTGTGTACCATCTGTGTTTCATATGCTTGTCATGGACAGCCAAAAAAGTAAATCCAAGAGGCTTTTGCAAAACCACCAAAGAGAGCATCAGTAATAAACCCTACTTTTGTCGGCTCCCAAGGACACTCCTTTCGAAGCCCTCACTGTGCTTCTGTTATAGTCAATACACAAAGGACTAGTGACCTGTAGTTCCATGTCCTTTGCTCACACTATGTATCTGAGATAGGGATGCAGTTAGCACTCGTGGGTTGACGTACAGTCAACAGCATAATCCTCTTACCTGTGTTTAAAAAGGAAAAATCTAATGTGGAAAAAAATTCATCTTCCTTCAAGTTTTAACTTCCAGTTTTATCTTGGGCATAAATTCTGAACGTAAATTTACAAAAAAAAAAGAAAACAAGAAAATGTATCATAAGGCCCATGTGTACATGGTCAAAATGAACCACCACTACTGCCCTGCCAAGAGTCACCCGAATTCACCTTCCGTCAAGGATTTACCTTTCATTGGATGTCACATGGCAGCAAGGTGATGAGCTTCAGCTTTTGCCATCAGCCATAGTTCAACTGAGAACCTTTTTTCTTTACTGAAAGAAAAAGAAAAATGTGCTGTGCAAAAGATTTAGTATAGCAAGTGCAAAGAAAAAGAAAAACACGCATCTGTGCCAGGCATTGCTCCGCGCTGACGCATCCTGGTCAGCTGTGTTTCCTGCCGTCTCTAACACCAGCCTGTTTTCCAGGTGCATCATCTCCTGCGAGGCCAGCTACTCCCTTAGTTCCTTGTAGCAGCACCACTCCGCCTCCGCCTCCTCCCCGGCCTCCGTCCCGGCCAAAGCTACCCCCAGGGAAGCCTGGAGTTGGAGATGTGGTATGTTTCTCCCTGCCTTAGCATGCTCAGAACAAGATCCCCAAGTCCCCTAACATGGACATTTCAACTTCAAGTCTAAGCATGACAGCACAAGTGACCATCACAGGGGCCAGCTGAAAAACAGGCCCTGCCATGTGAGGATATCTTTTAAGCCTCCTCAGATTTCTCCCAGCTTCCAAGCAAAGGCCTAGAATGGTGGGAATCCGGTGCCTAAGGCCTTCAGCTCCGGGCAAGCAGTTGGAGGCAAATGCAGTAGTGATGGTCCATCATGTGAATCCTCAGAAAGGGGGGAGGGTATTCTTTTATAATATTTGTCTCAGTTACTGGAAATCTCTGAGAGAAGAAAAATTCTACTTTCTGACTCCAGAAACCTGATAAATCAGCAGCAGAAATTCAGCAATACAAATATAGAGTGGTGGTCCCTAAGTGTACTACCAACACTTCCTTGAATTTTATTCTAAGACTGAAGTGTGGGAATGGGCTTCTCATTGGTCCAATTGAGAAGCCTGTGGCAGAAGTAAATCTCATTGGCCCCTGTACAACAGCCACTGAATAAATGGCATCATAACACTTAGATTCTGTCTTGAAACCTCTTTATGGAAGAGTGTACCAGTGTAGTTCCTGGGAGACAAGTTAATGGCTCGTCTAAGCTGAAGTGCCTACTGAGCTCACAGGCTCTTGTTTACGACTGCTCTAGCTCCAGAACACTGGTTTTGCATTAAGTTCAGTCCAGTTCAATGAAAATGGTGCCATGCCCATCAAGAACCTGAGTTTTCATATCCAGAGCTGAGAGTCAAGACAGGTACAGAAACCAGAGATGGCAAGATGACTCAACAGTGTAGGAACTTTCTGCCAAAACCTGATTTCAATCTCTCTGGCCCACATAGTAGAAGGTTGACATTTGACCCTCGTGTGTACTCCATGACATGTACACACATATGAGCACAAACTAAATAAGATGTAATAAATGTTTGAAAATGCTGAGCCAAAGTATTATGGCTGTGTCTAACTTTCGTCTTTCTTCTCTCTGCAGTCCAGACCTTTTAGCCCACCCATTCACTCTTCCAGCCCTCCTCCGATAGCACCCTTAGCACGGGCTGAAAGCACTTCCTCAATATCGTCGACTAACTCCTTGAGTGCAGCTACCACTCCCACCGTTGGTAAACTGACCTCTCTTTTCATGTGTCTGTGGCTGTTGATTGGCTATCCTTTATGAGCTGAGCTCCCTGGGCCCTGTTTCTAGTCACATCTTTTTTGTTGTGTGTTTGCTACAATCACCTGTTTCTTCTCTTGAAAGCACTTTCTCGGTTAAGGAGGCCAGTGCTTTAGCAGCACAAATTAACAATCGACGAGTGTGGAAGTACACATGTTTTGTAGGGATCTTCTTACATTGTCCCATGCAGCATGATTTACAAAAGAAGTCACCAAGGGAGGTACTAATACTTGGATATTTCTTGTAACAAAAAGCATTCTCCTTTGAAACAAGATGTTTAGATCAGAAATATTTTTTTTAAGTCTTGGAATGTTCGTTGTCTTGAAACTTTCGATTCTTCGTCATTTTTGGTTGTTTGAGGCTGACGAATATAGGCATTGGCATTGAGATACTTGGGACATTTTTTTGAACACTTTTCCCTAGCGGTCTGTTTTCCCTGGAGGAGAAAAAGCAATCATTTTCAGCAGATGTCCCTGTACTGTCCATATACACTGTGATGAAAGTGAAGGGTTGAGAATGACCATTCAGAGGTGGCTCGCCACCATCACCATGCTCAACCCCTGCCTCTCTCCTTTCCTGCATGCTGCCTGACCTGCAGCCTTCCCATCACACTTTCCCTGTCTGACCCCCCCCTTCTCTGCACTGCTCTCCTGTTCTTCCATGCTGTAAACCAGCCCACCCATTCCACACTGCTTGGGAGAATTGTTCATCCAGCTCAGTTTATTTCTGCTGTTGTTTATAGAGGAGCACACCACAGAATCACCCATTTGAGAAGTAGCTAGAAAAAGACAAAGGCTCTCCTAGAGAACAGCTGCCCATTTTCTCCAGAACAAGTGAAGGTGTGCCTCTCAGAACGACAAAGGGAATTCCAACTCTATCCTATATTCTTTACTTTAAACCATCCCCACACACACACACCCACACACATATAGGTTCAAATTTGGATTAAATGTAGCCACTTTTCTTATTTCATGTGAATTCCTTCCTTTTGGGTTTTAAGACAGTCACATGTACCTCCAGCTAAGTAATTTCATAACAGACAGATCTTTAACATTATTTTTATATTCTTTTTCTGTATCAATTAGAATAATTTGGGACTTCCTGATTTCCAGTGAATATTAGTATTAACTCATTCCTCTCTCATTCTTTGTTTTCATTACTGTTTTGTGATTTCTAGCCTTTTCTTTTCATCTTCTATCTCTCTTAATCTCCTTGATTTTTGTAGTCAGTTGCCCAAGTCCTTTCCTACTGTTAGGCTTTCCCAAGATCATTCATTCATTCCACACCTCCATTTGATGTGCTTTGTTGGGTGAAAAAGGAGGTAAGAATGAGTTGTCACTCAAAAGTGACCACACTCTACCTCAGATGGGCCACCCAGTGTGTTCTTTCAGCTCAAAAGCTGTGATTCACGCAGAAAACTGAACACACAGGGAATCTGAACTGTGTCCATGCTTTTGGACAGCATTTTCTATACTTTCTGCAGCAGAAATCTCCAATTACAACCAGCAACATTGATCCTCATTGGTCCTAGTGTGTGTTCTTTCAAGACAAACCACAGAGGGCTTGAAAAATGGAGCCATGTGGGAAGCTGGTCACAGTACTTCCTGCCCAGGAGCACCCTCACTGCTCAGTTAGGTTCCCTTGTTGTGGTTTGGGTTCATCTGCCCACTGAAGTCCTCACCACATGGTCTTTATTCTGGTCTGCTTCTGGTCACATGACAGCCACTTCTCAGCTGATGAATGACCAATGACCGGCCAGCCTCATGTGTTGCTTGTTGTCTCTAGTTTCCTCCAAACCTCTGCCTTGACTAAAGTGGCAACTCACTGTTAACAAGTGGATTGGGAGAGGTTGAAACTCACAGCAAGTTCCTAAAATTGGCGGCTGAAGAATCCCTTCCCACCGCCACAGTTTCCTGCCATTCCCTGTGTCCTTTGTGTTGTTCTTGGAGCAATTACATGAGAACTGATGAGCCAATGTCAAAGTCATACATGAACTAAGATCTTTAAAGCAAGCCTGTGCTACTTGTGGTAATGCACCCCACGAGGCTGAGGCAGAGTAAATCACAAGCCCTTGGGCTACATAGACCCTATCTCCAAAAATAAAATAGCAGCAAATAAAAAAAACCTCTCTACACAATAGTTCATATAAGGAACCACCCATAAAGAACTTTAAGTGTGACTATTTATATAAGAGTTGTGATTATAGAGTAGCAGTAGAAGTTTCCGTATGCTGTTACCCTCAAATAATGAAGACTTCTTACATAGCTGTATTTTTTAACTTAAGAATTCCTCGATTTTTAAAAATACCATTATTTTATCTATGACAAAAGGCTTCCAGATGTGTCAGGATACAGCTTTTTTTTAACTGTACTAACTATGATGCACCCCATTCTAGAAAACTGATAATATGAGAAGATGCACATCTAGAATGAAGGGAACACAGTGATGACTTTTGTGCTAGAGAATGCCCATAGGACCTGCACTATGTAATTCAGGGGAGGGAGAAATCTACTGATATTAATGGACTAAGGAAAGTGTTTGAAGTTATAAGAATCAGATGAGAGGTAGCGGAAGAGATAACGAAGCCTTATCTCTCCTTGAAAATCCCCCACTTTATTACTCGCTTATTATTTCAGTGACTGTGAGAAGTCTTGTGTTTGTTTGTTTGTTTGTTTGTTTAGATGATGACAAGACAGGCAGTTCTGCTTCCCTGTTAGTTATAATCCTTCCTGGTATTGTGCATTCTTATTTGCATCGTTAATGTGGCAGGAATCTGTAACAAGTGAAAAGTAACCATCTATCCATGACAACTTGTCAGATCGACTCTGATGTTTCCTTTGGTCCATAACTTGCTCCAATGTGAGGAGCAATCCAAATTCTATAAATTTTCTGGGGGAAATTATATTCATACCTACTTACTCTGCATAGAACCAAAGGATGTTATATTTTGTAAAACATCTGTATCTATTATGCCCATTCAATGAAACAGGATTTCCACTAAATCATTCCACTTCCAAGGAAACTGTAAGTGCCATTAAATATTGACAAATAACACCCTAGAACCTGGGGCTGGAGAGATGGATAAGTAGTTAAGAGCACTGACTAGATTTGATTTCCAGTATCTGCATGGCAGTTCATAACCATTTATAAATCTAGTTCCAGAGAATCCAATGCCCTCTTCTAGCCTTTGAGCTCACCAGAATATATGTGCACAGACATACAGGCAAGCAAAACACCATACATATAAAATATATTAATTAACTAGTTGGTTTATTTATTTAAAAAGTACTTGCTGCTCTTTCAGAGAGCACAAGTTTAGTTCTAAGCAAACCTAATTCATCAGATGGTACACAACTTTAATATCAACTCCAGGAAAACTAGTGCCCTCTTCCAGCCTCCTTGGGCACAGATGTGCACCCCACACACACACACATACACACGCAGAGTCACACACTGATGGGGGATAGCCTTCATGTCCAGTTTATACAGCATACAGTCAAACAGTTCAGGCAAGCGCAGTTTCTTGCCCAAATGACTAGTCTCACCAGGTCGAAGGCAAGCTCCATAACGAGTTTCTTCGATGTCCATCTTGAGGTAGAGAGCCTGCCAGAAGGAGACACCATGTAGCTGCCAAAGGAGTAACAGGTTCAGACATTCTCCAGTAAGGCAAGACCATGTGGAAATACATAAATGTATAGGTTAATAGCATTAATAATTAAGACAGAGCTATCCAATAGGAATCCCTAGCCCGTGTGTTTACTTGGGGCTAAAGTGGCAGAGGGACCTGGCAGGTAAGAAAACTCCAGCAACAACACACAAACAAGCACATACATGCACACACACACACACACACACACACACACACACACACTCATATACATACTCACATATGCACACACTTTTTTCTCCATAAATCTTAGAACCAAAGAATTGAAACAGAAAAATTTCATTGTCGTATACCCTAAGTCTAGGCATCAAGTTATTAGAATGAGTTCCAAAAGCATCAGTGTTTTTTATCCTAATTTCTGTCCTTAACATCTCTACAGCAAAGACAGGTTTCTCTATTACTGATTTTATTTGATTATCTATTAAGATTGTAATAACACCTTTGAAACCTATAGCATTGTTTTTTAATCACATAGAGTAAAAACACAGTTCCTTGTATTTGTTGTTTGGTGAGGATAGTGGGTAAATATCTGAAATAGTTGAGGTTCAGTGTCTCAGCTCATAAAACTGTGGCCAGTTTCCAAAAATAAACATCTAGCCACAGTAGAACCATGGTCAAAGATACCAGTATGATAACATTGTTCACAACCAGTAATCTTTAACTATCAAGTTAATTAAAAGATCACAACACATGCAAGAACCCTAGATTTATACTGCTGTTTGTGGTCACATTAAAAGCTAATTCCTTTCTTCCTGGGGGAATATATGTGCTAGGTGATCTTGCTGAGTTGTCAGGGCTATGCTGGGGTTCTTGTGCTGGTCCCTTGAGAACTGCATTGGAGTGAAGTATTCTCGAATGAGAAAAGCTGTGCCTTTCATGGCTCCCTGAGATGGTGGGAACTAACTCCTTTCCTGAAGTCGACTCCCACCACATTGACAGATGCTACACCCTGACTTTTGTTTTTTAGTTCAGTTAGTCTAGATCCTCATAGAATCATCTCAGTTATGTTCATCACTTTTCATACCTTCATCTTAATCCCAATGTCTCAAATCCTTTTCTTTTTTCCATGAAAATCATTCCTGCCTCAACCGGTAAACTGTGCTTCTTGGTTTCATTTGGAATTTGTATTTGTGTTTTTGTTTTCCATTCGTTTATGTTTCTTTGGTTTGTAGTGTCAGAAGATGATGTTTTTTATGACAAACTGCCCTCGTTTGAAAGGCGCTGTGACACGCCTGCAGGTATGGTGCTAGCTGAGTGATACATAGATACTTAGACTTTCCAAATCCAAACCATTTTCCATCTGAATGCTAGAAGCTTCGTGGACATGCTCCCCACCTCATGAGTCCCAGTGCCTCTCAGATGCGCCCTGTCCATGTACTGTCCATCGTGGAACTCGTGCCACTGAACCAATTTTAAGTGGACATATTGTAAAACAGCAGGTTGCATGACAGTTTCTCAGAGAAAAGGTTCAAACCAGGTGAGATGCCATTGTTGATTGACTTGCAGAGGAAGAAATAATTTATGTACTCAGTCTGTTGACTTTTTTCCAATTTACACCTTGTTGAAGCACCATTGGAAATCTCTCTTCTCTTTAGTACTGAAGTAAAGGGTGTGTTGTGACTGGATGCCTAAGGTGATTCCAGCAGAGGGATGGGAGATCTTTGACATCGTCTGTGAACTTTAAATTGATATGCAATGCTGTTGTCATTGAAAAGCTAAGTGGATGTTGCATAGAAACCTCAACCCCAGGTTGTACCAACAAGCAAGGGGATGACATTGATGACAAAAAGGATGCAGCAGTTGCTGAATGGCAGTATTGCCCAAATTAATGCAGTTGAAATGTGCTAACACCCCTGCATGGCCAGGAAGACATCTGCTCTATGCATACAAGTGCCTAGCCTCAAGCTACCTACACGCGTGTCCATCCCTTCAGTCTCCATAGCTTTGATTCTGCCTTGTTTGCTCAATTAAAACAAAAACAAAACAAAAAATCTCTCAACTACCAGCCTTCCCTCCCTCCTGCACGCTCACGGCATGCAGTGCCTCCACCCTTCCCCGTAGTGAGATTAATTACCTGCTCTGTAACTCACATCGTGTCCTTCTCTCTCCCTCTCCTTAACCTTCCCCATCCCGCTTCACCTCCTGGCCAAACAGAGAATGAACAGCCTTCCCTCGTTTGGTTTGACAGAGGAAAGTTTTACTTGACTTTTGAAGGTAAGTAGAGCATAGCCTACCAGATTCTAATTTCTAGTCTCCTCTTCCTGTGTTGTTTTTATTCCCATTGAAAAATTCCCAGCTTCCTCAAAATTTCTGGTCTTGCTTTCTCCATTAAAAATGCTATGGCTACTTGGAAAGTATCAAGTACTAAAGAAAGCATTTCCTGAATTTGGTTGGTATGCGTTCTTCAATTTTTCATATTGAACAAACTAAAGCTGATTTGCAGTTAACATTGGTTACTTAATTAACAGTGGCCAATTAAAAGCAGAACCAAATGGAACCTTCTTTGGCTAAGGAACTTGACTCTGTCAACCAGGCTCTTGCCTAATCCTTTTGCAAGTGTGTATGTGGCAAATTTGAGTGTGTTTGAGGTTGGGATTACATTTAGCCTAATTTAGAAAACCTGACATTCCACATAAAGAATCCAGTGGCGTAAACTGTAAATGTGTGTGCCTGCATGTGTGAATGGTCCATGGCGGATCAGAAAAACAGGAGTTGGGACAAGGAGCATTAAAGGAAGGTTTGGTCCTCATCCCTGGAAACTGCAACTGTAACGACTGCAGTAAGGTGGGCAAAGACTGTTGAGCGTGCCATTCACGAAGGTTACACTCTCTATTAAGGCTTAGCACTCTCCTGTTCTGTGTTTAACATCTATCTCATCTTCACAGGCCACACAATTAAATGGCACACTTAAACTACCAAGTGGGCGGGGGGGGGGGACATTGAATACTTTACCTAATTATTCAGCCATTTTATGCATAGAGATTTATCATATAAGGTCCTACATTGTAAAAATTTAAATAGTCAAATTTATTCCAGGGTCAAAAGCTGGTAAAATATATTTTTTCTCCCTAGAATTAAATATCAGTGTTGAACTTGTCTTTGTGTCTCATAACAACAGGAACTTGAATGTGTGTTTTAAAAATCAGAATGGCTAAAATATATGAACAGTATGAAATACACCAGCAAAATTCACCCAATAATGAGTTAGCCTTATAAGATGGAAGTCCTTAACACTTGTACAGGTGCCAGAAACATGGTCTGACCTCAAACCTTTCAGATGTCCTGAAGTCTTCTCCCAGTGTGACCCCAAAACAGGTGCTAGGTGATTTTCCTGGAAGGATGCCTTTTTTCCATGTGACTTTATCTCCTGGGGGCATCGGTTTTGTAATAAGAAAGATGCTAGGCCCACAGGCTTTTGACCACCAAAATTTTCTCTTCGATCAGCTGAAATGAAAGGGCCCAGGTGATACCGCTGGGCCACTGCACTCCTGTAACCCCAGCATGCCGAGCCTGATGCACCTGAAGCCAGTCAGGGCTAGTAGCAAACTCCATGCTGGAGAGAACCTGTCCAAAATCATCCAAACGAAAATCATCCAGACATCTTCTTACTGATGGGTCCATCAGTAAAGCAACAGACACAGCTGCTTCGGGATGGTTGGAAGTCCTAAAGCACAGCAGGAACCTGTATCTGCCAAGGCTTGAACTCTGGTCCAACTCAGCCGAGTAGCAAAGTCTACTATATAAGCCAGGAAATTAACTAATGTAATAGAGCATCATATGTATGGTTGGTGTGAGGTGTTTTCGCCTAGGGAAACCTGAAAAGATTGCAAAAGCTGTTTTCCATGGTCATGATAGAATGATGCAGAAATGACTGCATTGTATAGTACCTTGAGAATATGGCCTCACCTGAATGTTTATGCTCCAAAAGGACAGCCAAGCAACACATCCTGTTGAATAGCATTTTAACGGATTCTCTAGGACACTCATGTTTATCCACATTTATCCTTACTAATTGCAATTTTCTTCAATGCTTCATCCAGAGATCTGAAGAACATGAAAGTTCTCATGTCAAAATTGTCACTTGTTCTAAGTAGCTTTTTATTTGTTTACTGACTTCTGAATAATGTTTTTGTAGTGTTTAAAACTTCATTGTTCATTATTCATTCTTAATAACAATTAGGACCCTATAGTCAGTCAGTCAGCATTTGAGTCATTGACCAGTTCATCAAGTAACTAATGAACAAATGAACATCCACATGTACATGAGTACACACACACACACACACACACAGAGTATGCCTGCCTTCAGCCATGACTATCCTCAAATAGAAGGGAATGATATTTCCATGACAAATCACTGTACCTAATAGATATTTTAATTCTGTAGTGCCTATAATGTCAAGATGTTTCCAAAACTGTACTGCCTCTCTCCTTGGGTGACTTTTTAAACTATAAAATCATCTTTGCATCTGGTGGTGAAAATCAAACAACATGCTCCCTTGCTACCACGAGTTTCCTTGTGTCTCACATCATCCTGGTCACCTATGTCACACTATCCTCTGTGACCCTGCACACTGCTCTTCCTCCTGTTGGCATGTCACTGTTAGCACCCCTTCCCTACATTTTCAGCCTCTCTGCTGAACTCACACTCGTTTCCCTAACTGAACCCCAGCTCTCTCCAAGGACCAGCATTTCTCGGAAGCAGTCCCCACAGAATATTCTTCCCTTTCCTGTGGCCATGTGCTGTGAGAATGGGAGCCAGTTTTAAATTCTCACAGTTCGGCTTTGTCAAAGCCTCCTGGCTGTAGACAGCGGTCATTGATCGTCTAGCTCAGTGCTCCACTGGATTCCATCCTTACCGCTACTGACCACTGACCTCCAGCCTCCCTCTGCATTTGTCTGTAGACTTGAAGCACCATTCTCAAGCATCATGTCTAACAGGTTCTATGGAGATGGCCCATCCAACACATGGTCTCCAGGGCCTCTCCAGCTGCCTCAGCCCCAACTTGATTCCTCTGCTCTACTCAGCAGCAGTACCTTGGAAACGGTGCCTACAGACAGGGTTCCATTTAGCTATTTCATAACTAAAACTTGTCATGTATCTTATATACTAGAAACAATGTTACATGATGAATCTCTCATTCAAGAACATCTATTGGATACTTGCTGACCACTCCACACTCACAAAGGAAACAAAATTATCCCTGTTGCCACAGAGTTTACATTCTAGTATTCAGGGTTAAAAACAGGGAAATAAGTAACATATATAATATGGAGGGGGAAATGAGTTCTATAAGTATAATAGAACATAGTGGAGGCTGAAACGTATTGGAGAAGAGAGGCAATAAATAGCAAATACAGTAACACATGAGCACTCATTGTGCATAAGTAAACCAGTTGTCTGTCTTCTCATTTCAACTACACAAGTCACTGTGGAGAAAATGAGATTTGGAAACAGCTTTGCAGAGCCTCACGGCCGGGCAGAGTAGGGGTTAAAACCATGTGGGAGACACCCTGCCCGACATCCTCAGCCTATTCTACACAGAGTCTCATCTTTAGGACAGAGTTTTCTCTCACCCCCAGCCCTCCAACTCTGTCATCCCCAGACACAGCTTGTCTATGCCTCACTGAAACCTCCTCTCCCACCATCCCACTCTGACTGCATGCGACAGCCTGGTCCTCCATTCAGGTTCCTTTCTGTCTCCTGATTAGACCCCAGAGAGTAAAAATGTTTCTGAAAAGATCTTGATCATCTCTGGGATAAAAGACTTCCTCTTCTCTCTAGACTTATATTGACTCTATGAAAAAGGACTCTTAAGTGTCTGAACAATGTAAGCAAGCTTTTTCATGTCCCTAATTGAACACTAGTAAGTCAAAATTACATATAGAAACACTCACCCCTCCTTCCATCCCTCCCTCCCTCCCTTTCTGTCTCCTGTTTGTCTGTCTTGCCTCTCTCTCTGTGTATGTTTTTCTGTTTCTCGGTCTTTGTCTCTTTCTTTCTCTCTCTGTCTCTGTCTTTCTTTGTCTCTCTCTTTCTCATGTCTGTCTCTCTCTCTCTTTGTCTGTTTATCTCTCTCCCCTCTCTGTATCTGTCTCTCTGTATCTGTTTCTCTGTATCTGTCTCTCTGTATCTGTCTCTGTCTCTCTCTGTCTCTCTGTCTCTGTCTCTCTGTCTCTCTCTCTCTCTCTGTGTGTGTGTGTGTGTGTGTGTGTGTGTGATCTGTCACTGAGCAACACCCCAACTTCATTCACTTTTATTTACCCTGGTTTGTAATAAAAACCTGTAAGAGTTTGGAAAGGCTAATTAACTCACTTGGAAGTCATTAAAGAAAGGAAAATAGAAAGGTATGGACAGTTTTCTGGGAAGCAATTGCCTTGCTTAATTCCTAGTGTTCTCCAATGGGAGGGAGGGCCTCTGATTGTAACACTTAACTCAGGTCCTTTTCCATCAATAACGAATTAAGATTAATGAGGACTTACTCTGAAAAACTCACAGTGTTAAACTATCCAGGACAGCAAACAATGCAGGATCATAAAAAGTAGCAATTCAAGTCAGTCTTAATTCAACATAAAAGCGTAATCCTTGCCCTTCTGAGATTGTATGTGTTGACTGTGATGTGCATATGAATTATGCAACCCTTTCGATTAATAATGGAAGCTCACAATGCTTTTTTTCTTTGTTTTAAAAGATTAAAGTGCAATTAAAATCTTTAAAATGTGCTACTGGGGAAATATGCAGAGAATTTAGTTCCCATTTTTTCTTCATAGTAAACCAGTTACCTGGCTCTGGCCCCTCAGAATGAGTGTTTGGAAATTTGCTTGGTTTCCTGCTCTTTGAAGATATCACCCTACCCCACTCACGTTTACTGTAACACACACATGCTGCAGACAGAATGGGTGGTCAGCAGAGTGTGTCCTAGTCATCCCAAATGTATATGAGGGCTCCTAGGCAGGACATGAATGTCCAGAACTCAGATGAGAATCTCTCTGATTAAATAGCTGTGAAAAAGCTTAGTGAATGGTGGCTTCTGTACCAGGCAGGGCATATCTGGATAGTGAAGTAGTAAATTGTTTATTAACAATTGTTATTATTATTATTATTATTACCATTATAATCCTCCTCATCATCATCATCATATCTAGGTACTAACTATCTTTCCCAGCAATGGGGCTGCAAGATTTCATGGATAACTCCATATCACAGTTGACTT